ATTAAAAAAAAAACTCAATAACAATATTTATCTTATAATTAAAATATATATTAATTTTTTTATTCAACCATTATCTCACCTAAAAATTCAGGTAATATTGTCTGTTCTCTCAATTAAAAAATTACTATTAAATAAGATTCAATGCAAGCACCTTGCATGTAGCATACTCGGGCGGAGGGAGGGGGTGTAATTAAGCTGCCCCCTCAACTTTTGAAAAGTTGTAAATTTAGTACATATCTTTTTTTACTTTTTAAAATTTTAAAATATTATATTTATTATGTAAAACTTTAATTGTTCTCATTTAACTCTTATAATTCTTATATTTTTCATACTGAATAACTCAAGACTACTACAATCTATAATAATATGATCTAAATAAATAAATTCCTTACATATCGAATAAATTAATAATGAAGATTCTTAATTAAACCCTAACTCAAAGATTTTCTCTCTAAAATTTTAACTTATTTTAAGATTTTAGCTTTTAATTTTTTTCATTTATTTTAGAAAGTAATTTGATTAATAAAAATTGTTGTTAAAAAAAAAGAATTGAATTTTTATTTAGTTAATGATGATTTTAGTTTCTACATATTGAATCATATATTCTCTCTTTTATATTATTTAGTTCTTTGAGATAGAAATAGATAATTTTTAATAGACAAATCAAGAGAAAAAATAGACATTTTAGGATAGAAAGAGTAAAATTTTGAAAATGCTTAAATAGTCAATCCATTATTTAAGTATTATCATAGTAAAGTGTTATGTTTTATTTTAATAAAATTATTCATTTATTAAAAAAATTACTAGAAATATAAGATGAAGAAAATATATTTATTTTTAAATTTTGTCAAGAAGAAAATATCAATGAGAAGACAATCAAAATTAATTTTTTTTAAAAATTAATTATTATTAAAAAAAAAACTCAAAATAAAAGTTGTCAATAAAAAGTTCACTTCCTCACCCAATTTCTTGGCTCTGCCCTGAGCATAACTAAATAAGATTTAATAGCATTGCACATGCATTGCACATGATTATTTTAATATTTCTTTTTAATATTAAATAAGAAAAATTGGTATACATCTTTGAAATATGACTCAAATAAAACAATCCAAGCAGTTATATCTTGCAACTAAATTTTAGATTAAAAAAAAAACCTTTTAAATAGAACATTTAAATTTTGTTGTCAAGAATTGAGAAAACTTTAAATTCACTTATAATGACTGTTGATGATTGCAAAAGAAATCATCAGAAGAATATACATAGGGAG